CCCCAAAACCCCAAAACCCCAAAACCCCAAAACCCCAAAACCCCTTATCAAATAATTCCTTTTGAAAAATTCATAATTTATATAATAAATTATTTAGAAATGGTAAATTTTTGAATGTCTTGTATTTTATTTTTTGAGTTTTTAAGCACTTTTCAGATCTGGATTTTCACATTTTTAATGTGTGAAACTTCAAAGTGCAAACTATACTCTTTAATTTAATGTGAAGAGTCAATCTTCGCATTATCCTGAATTTTCTTATATTTGTTTGCTGTAATTTTTATGATAAATTTGACCTAAGTTCCCTCTTTATGTTGTTTTTATGACTAGTTTTTTATTCTTTTTATGTTATAATTTCAAATTTATTATCAATTTTTTATCTTTCTGTCAGATTATTCCAAGTCATTCAGTCAGATTAAATATTATGAGCTTCATAATAATTATGGTCTTGTTGATAAAAGGGGCTGTGCTCGGAGTTGGTCAGAAAATTGAGGTTGGAGTTCTGAGACACAGTGACCAGGAGTTAATTAATGAGAAAAATATTTTGCATCGTGAGCTTGCAGCTAGTGCTAGTATTTCAGTTTGTTTTATCATTTAGCTTCAACACCAGCAACCATTACTACTTCAGATACCATAACGGTAACTGCTACAGATACTGATGGAGCTGGACAATTTTATGAGATTAGTTTCAATAATGAGTGTACTGTATCAGCTCCTGGACTTACTTGCACGGCAGTTGGCGGTCAAGAGCAAGTTCTGGACTCAAGTTCTACTTCTTCAATGACTGATAATGGAGATGGAACGTATACATCCACGATCTCTGTAACTAGACCTGGAAAAATCACGATCAATGTGTTTAAATATACCCAAGGAGGAGTTCTTGTTGAGTATTACTCTGGTACTACTTACAGTGGAGGAGTACAACATGCTGAAATTAAGAGTGATCTCAATATTGACTATGGTAGTGGAAATTTATTCGGATCAACAAGTAATTTTGCTAGCGCAAAGATGTACTTCAAACTCAAAGGACCATCCACCGAATCAATCACATTACAATTAGAAGCAGATGACACTGCTAGCTTGAGTTTGGATGGATCAAACGTAGTAAGCGCTAGTTCTGGGACAAATACTAATACATTTTCATCGACTTTAAATACAATGTATGATGGGCAAATAAATTTCGTTGAAATTTTATTTTCTGCAAAAGTTATTTTATCTTGGAGTTACACTTCTGTTCCGATGACTACAGTCCCAAGTGCAAATTTATACTACAAAGCTTATATAAGTTCACCAATGCAATTGACTATAAACTGTCCAGATGGTTACTCAAAGACTACTTCTGCAGGAAGACCAATTTGAGATATAATTTGTGGAGATGGCAAAAGAGCAGGAACTGAAGAATGTGATGACGGGAATACACTAGCCGCAGTTGATGGATGTAGCTCTACTTGTACAATTGATTCAGGCTGGGAATGACACAATGGAAACCCAACAACCCAAGACACATGAACACAATGCCCTGCTGGTTTTTATCCGAATTCAGCAAAGAATGCTTGCGAGACTCATTGAGGTGATGGTAAGAGAGCCGGATCTGAGGCTTGAGATGATAATAATGTAAGGAATGGTGATGGCTGAACTGGAACTTGCACAATTGAGAGTAATTGGATATGCAATGGAGGAACTACCTCATCATCTGACTCTTGCACGTTTTGAGAGCCTGGATATACAGCAAACAATGTCCCAGCCACACAAGTATGAGTTTCGACATGAGGTGATAAAATGCAGGTTGGAAGCGAAAAATGAGATGATGGCAACACTAATGGATCAGATGGCTGTGCTGCAGATTGAAGTGCTGTTGAATCTGGCTGGGTTTGTGCAAACTCCACCTTTTCAAGTGGTGATGTATGCACTCAATGAACAAGTGGATTTTATCAAAATGATGCTACATATCCAACAGCTTGTGTCCCTCAATGAGGTGACTCAAAGCGTGCTGGGAGTGAGAAATGAGATAACGGAGATGCCTCCGGAGCCACTGGATGAAGCTCTGACTGACTCTCAATCACAGCAGGGTGGGTCTGATCAGGTGGAACAACCACCACAGCAGACACATGAGCTCAATGAACAGCTGGCTTTTACCAAAATGATGCAACTAATCCTACTACCTGTGTCCCCCAATGAGGGGATGGGCTTGAAGCAGGCACAGAGAAATGCGATGATGGCAATACAGTAGCTGGTGATGGCTGAGCAGCTGACTGAACTACAGTTGAAGCTGGCTGGGTGTGATCAGGAGGATCTACAACATCAAAAGATGAGTGATATAAATGAGCGGATGGATACACTCAGAATAATGCAGTTAATCCAACTACTTGTGTGACGACTTGTGGAGATGGATTCGAAGCAGGAACTGAAAAATGAGATGATGGCAATATAAGTGGCAGCGATGGGTGAGCTGCAGACTGTAGTACAGTTGAAGCTGGCTGGGTTTGAATTGGAGGAAGTCCTACTTCTTCTGATACATGCACTCAGTGAACTGCAGGGTTTTATCAAAATGATGCGACTAATCCTGAAACATGTGTAACTACTTGCGGCGATGGGTTAGAAGCTGGGGCAGAGAAATGTGATGATGGCAACACTATTGCAAATGATGGCTGAGCAGCAGACTGTACAAGTGTTGATGCCGGTTGGGTTTGATCTGGAGGATCTACAACTAGTCAAGATACATGAACAAAATGACCAGATGGATTTTATCAAAATAACCCAACAAATCCTGAGGTTTGTGTTACTCTGTGAGGTGATGGGTTTGATGCAGGAACAGAGAAATGCGATGATGGAAACACTATTAGTGGTGATGGATGAGCTGCTGATTGAACAACTGTTGAATCTGGATGGGTTTGTAAGTACGGGACACCTACTACAGCTGATGTCTGAGAGCAATGAACAGCAGGGTATGTTCAAAATGATTCCTCTAATCCTGAATATTGTGTGCCATCCTGTGGTGATGGTCTCAGAGTAGGTAATGAATTATGAGATGATGCTAATACTTCAAGCAACGATGGATGTTCTTCTGATTGATCAAAGATTGAATCTGGGTATATTTGTACTGGTGGATCGACGGGCTCTAAAGATACATGTACTAAATGCCCTCTTAGCTATTCTCCAAATGAAGAGCAAAGGAAATGTGAAATAAATCCTATATCCACCAGAGCTAAACAGATAAGCTACTTCTATGCAATTGTAAGTGGAGTAGGTCTTTTACTGAATATTTTTATGATATTGAAGTACAACCATTCATATATCAGCATATTTAGAACTATATTCCACATCCAAATGCTGTATCTTCTTCCTCTGCTAGGAGATAAAATGGGCAACGATGGAGTTGGATTCCTAAGAAATTTTAAATTCATTCTGGCTACTTTTAAAGAGCTTCCAAATGATTGGGTATTCTTTGGTTGGAGATCAATGTTCTCTTCTCTTGACTATTCTCAAGAGAACAGCTATTTACCATTAATAGGAATAAAATCTGGAAGTGCTATAGTGAACTGTTATAATCTATTCTGGGTATCTTCTGTTCTGTCCTTACTCACTGGTGTGTCATTTTTGCTCTTTTGGAAGCCTAAATACCCAAATTTTGCTAAGAAAATGTTGAAAGTCTTGTTCAGATTAGCAATTCGAATAATAATGTTGACTTATATCTTCATTGCTATATGTGCATTCTCTGAAGTGAGAGACTATAAAAGAGTTTCTAAAGGATTTTTATCTTATCTGATATCCATAACTTTCTCAGGAGTGCTTATTTTCACAGTCGCACTCTGTGCTTATTTCTGCCTAAGAAAGATTCCTGCTGAAGAGCAGGTCGATACAAGCTCCACAATTGAGTATTTCGTTGGTGTAAGAAAGGATAAATTGGCAAGATTCTATATCATTTTATGGTTTATTAGGAGAACTACTTTTGTCGGAGTTATTTTTATGCTAGATTACCTAAACAATGCTCTTATTCTGACCATTCTGGTTCTGATTCAGTTGCTTTATATTTTGGCTTTATTGCAAACTCGAGCTTTTACTACTAAGAAAGATAACATCCTTGAAGTATTCAATGAGATTTGATATCTGTTGCTAATTCCTGCTAGTCTTTATTATGGTCCGAGTTTAAAAATGGTAGATCATTCAATGATTTATTTATGTAAGTCTCTCATTGGGTTGTGTAACATTTTAGTCATAAATATTGCGCAGGCTATAATAGAGTTTATTGTTTGATTATCAGAAATTACTATTCGTCTGAAGAAAAAGATGAAAGTAATCAAACCAGATGAAACAATCGAAATAAAAAGAAAGACACTGGTAAGACCAATTTTAAAAGATGTTTAAACCATCCCTACTTCTTTAGGCTACGCAGTCTATGACATCTGACAGAATTATCCATTCCAAGAATATTTATGATAGGTATTTTGTATCTTACCCAGTAGGGACTCTGAGAATGTTGGCATCAACAATTATGCAACTCAAGAGAACCCTCCTTCAGGAAATTCTCAGAATATGTCTTCCACTAATTCCCAGAACTCTCATAATATCTTTGCCAATAACTCTCAGAAGAAATTACACACGATCCAAGAAGTCGAGGAAATTCCTGACAAGAGCGAGATCCAGGTCCCAGATGTCTCAGACCCAAAAATCTACGAAGAGTTTAAGAAAAATTGGGGATTTGGGCAGTACAAGAGCCAGAAGGATAAATTTTCTAATTTCAGCTAAACTATTCCTTCTTGGGGTTTTGGGGTTTTGGGGTTTTGGGGTTTTGGGG